AAACACTCCCAGGACAGGGACAGCACAGGGTTAGATGCAGAGATAAGCTCGCTCTACACTGTCCCCATCAAACACTCCCAGGACAGGGACAGCACAGGGTTAGAAACAGAGTAAAGCTCCCTCTACACTGTCCCCATCAAACACCCCCAGGACAGGGACAGCACAGGGTTAGATACATTGTAAAGCTCCCTCCCTAAAGCCAGCAGGTCAGAGAGAAATAGTTTGAGCATTATTCCAGGAGTTTGTGCCATTCCTGTACACTGGATAAATATTCACATTGTGTTATTCCCATTATTAAAGGTGTTCAAGATCTGAAGACCATTTATGGACTCACCTATCAGCCTTTACCCATTGAGAAACAGCATTCGCCTGGCAAGAAACGAGCCAAGCCAAAGTCTGCTCCCATTGAGTCAGTCAGCACCTATTGCCAGGACTATCCCCTGTATACAGATCAGGCCTTGAGACGCCGGCCGCCAATCCCCCAGGTGGATAACCTGCACATCAACCAGCATTTACCGTAAGAGCTACACACTGCTCCATGTACCGTCTGCACTGTCTCACACACAGCACGTACAACTGAGTCTTCGCTCTGGGGTAGTAGGAACTGCCGATGCTGGAGAATCTGAGATAACAAGGTGTAGAGTTGGACGAACACAGCAGGCCAAGCAGCATCAGAGGAGCAGGAAGGTTGACGTTTTGGGCCTAGACCCTTCTTCAGAAAATTTTCTGAAGAAGGGTCTAGGCCCGAAACGTCAGCCTTCCTTCACTGTGGGGACCTGTTTCATCAGTAACTCTGGGACTCTGGTTTTTTCATTTTCTGTATCGTTCTTTGTAATTTTGATGATTCGTCTTATGTCTTCTGTTTTCGCAACTTCTTAAATATCCTGCCTCTGTGTGTAAGGATCAGGCTCAGAAGTGAGGCATCCCATGGTTGCATAGCTTGTTGACACTGTTCTCAAGGGGTGACTGTAATGCAGTTTTCATGTCTCTGGACTAGTAATCCAGAGGCCTAGGCTACTTCTGTGGAACAGGGTTCAAATCCCACTACGGCAGCTGGTGGAACTTAAATTCCATTCATAGTAAAGTTGGAAATTGACAACTAGTCACTGTGGCCATCACTTGTGGTTAAAAACCCATCTGGGTCACTAATGCCCTTCAGGGAATGAAATCTGCCCTCTTTACCTTATCTAGCTGACATACAGCTTCGGGCCTACAGCCATGCGGAAATGGCCTAGACAGCCCCTCAGTTCAGGGGCAGTTAGGGATGGGCAACAAATGTGATCTCCCCAGCAATACACACATTCCATTCAGCAACCAAAGTGAGGAATCCCATCAGAGTGTTTTCGGAGCTGGTGAATTCACCAATTTGGAGCAGGAATTCTGAGGAACTGAGTGGTGTCTGATTGCAAACAGGGCCTTATCCTGACCTTTAACAGAATCAAATAAGTCAGCACCAACCTATCCCAACATTATCATGTCAGCATATTAATTCAAAACCTGATCATATTCAGAAACACGTTTCCTCTACAGTAAGCAGTCATCCCAAACATTCCTAAGGCAAGTTTCCATGCAAATGCCCTAGACCCAAACACCTCATCTTCAACTCACAACTCCAAACTGACAATTCCAATAAATACAGATAGGCATAATGAAGGTCTCACACTGTAGAGGGATTTTGAGATTTTCATACATGAATCTCAAAAAGCAAGCACCCATGTTCAGTGGGTAATAGGGAAGGAAAATAGAATGTGGGTCTTTAGTTCGAAGGGAATGGAGTAAAGAAATAGGGAATAAAATGAAACAAAGAACCGCAGATGCTGGAGATTTGAAACAACAGCAGAAATTGCTGGAGAAACTCAGCAGATCTGGCAGCATTTGTAGAGAGAGAATACAGTTAACGTTTGGGTCCAGTGCTTCCAGGTTTGGAAGGTGCTGTCTGAGGATCTTTGGTGAATGTCTGCAGTGCATCATGTAGATGGTACACACTGCTGTTACTGAGCATTGATGTTTTTTTTTTAATTCATTGGGTGAGGGTTTTGCCGGCCAGGCAGCATTCATTGCCCATCCCTACTTGCCCAGAGGGCAGTTATGAGTCAACCACATTGCTGTGGGTCTGGAGTCACATGTAGGCCAGACCAGGTAAGGATGGCAGTTTCCTTCCCTAAATGACATTAGTGAACCAGATGGGTTTTTCCTGACAGTCGTCAATGGATTCACAGTCATCATTAGATTCTTAATTTCAGATTTTTTTATTGAATTCAAATTCCACCACCTGCCGTGGCGGGATTCAAACCCAGGTTCCCAGAACATTATCTGGAGTCTCTGCATTAACAGTCCAGCGATAATACCAATAGGCCATTGTCTCCCCATAAGGGAGTGATTTGGAAGGTGATGGATAGGACCCTTGTCAAGGGAGTGTGGAACAACCCAGAGGCCATGCATCTCTTTGTTAACTGCCCTGGAATGTATTTATGGTCTGAAGGTGCCACGTAAATGCAAGTTGTTGCTGTAGAAAAGCAATGGACCTGACATCCTTAACTCCAACACATCTTTTCCTTTCTCTCCTCAGTGTGGACTTCAACACAATTCAGAGAGATTCATACATTGGCTGGGACACCGTCAAATACCCCCGTCGTGATCCAATCATACTAAAGAACCAGTTGAAACTGGAAGGGACCATTGATACCAACACAGTGACAAGGGTTAAGTATAAACCAATTGTATTCTGTACACGATTCACTGAAAGAGAAATTCATAAATTTCACAATAAGCAATGGTCATTCTGCCCATAAATCTCATTCCTTCCACACGGTATGTAAGATTGCCGAGGTCATAGACTCAATCCCATCCATTTCATCCTAGTGGATAGATAGAAATGTAGAAACTAGGAGCAACAGTAGGCCATTCCAACCTTCAAGACTCCTCCACCACTCAATAGGATCATGGAGGATGCCATTTCCCATTTATCCCCAAGCCCTTGATGCCTTTAATATCTAAAAATGTATCTACCTCTTTCTTGAATATATTCAGTGACTTGGCCTCCATACCCTTCCGTGGTACAGAATTATACAGGTTCACTTTCCCTCATCTTTGTCCTAAATGGACTAACCCAAATTCTGAGGCTGTGTCCCTGAGTTCTAGACTCACAACCAAAAAAAACATGCTCCAGGATCTAATCTGTTCAGTCCTGTTAGAATTTTATATCTTTCAATTAGATTCCCTCACATCTTTTTAAACTCTTGTGAATATAGGCCCAGTCTATCCAGTCTCGCCTCATTGGACAGTCCTGCCATCCCCAGTATCAGTCTAGTGAACCTCCACTAGACTCCGTCTATAGCAAGTATATCCTTTCTTCAACAGGGAGACCAAACCTGCACCCAATACTCCAGGAGTAGTGGCAGATTCTTGTTAGACAATGGAATCAAATGTTATTGGAAAGGGGATGTGAATGTGGAATTCAAAACACAAATAGATTGAAAGGTGCAGCAGGTTCGAGGGGCCAAATGGCTTTCATCTGCTCCTTTTCCAAGCGTTCATACACTGCATCCAAGGTTCAGTTCCTGTAATGGAAATCCTGAACTCTCATTCCTTGCCCATTAACGATGATCCTTTCCTTCACCCAGATGAAGATTAGTTGCATCTAATGGCAATGGCATATTTAATCAGTTCATTGTCACCTTCAATGCCCAGTATCTACCCTGCTCCTCGTTAATCATTCATTGGCAGTTACTGACAAATCTACTTCCCTCCCACTTTACACTATAATGTTTCTGTGAATCCAAGAACCAACTGCTGATATTTATCTTTCCCTCAGCTTACATATACAGGGGCACCGTTCAATCAACTGCAAGATCTCAACCGACCCATGACGATGCAGAGTGCTTGTGGTGGCAAATTTCGTAGTGGAACAGCCTATACAAACTCATTCAGGCCTTGGGAGACACACTCCAGGGTTCGTCACGGTGATCTTCATGATGGAGCTTATATACCTCTTCCGGTAAGCTGCCTCATGCTTTAATTATGTACCTTTTCCAGTAATCTGCCTCATGGTTTAATTATATACCTCTTCCGGTAAGCTGCCTCATGGTTTAATTATAGAATAAACATAGAACATAGAACTGTACAGCACAGGAACGGGCCCTTTGGCCCACAATGTTGTGCTGAACGTGATGCCAAATTAAACTGATCCCTTCCGCCTGCCCTGGGTCCATTTCCCTCCATTCCTTGCATATTCATGTGCTTATCTAAAAGTTCCTTTTAAACACTCCTATAGTATCTGTTTCCGCCACCACCCCAGCAGTGCATTCCAGACTCCTACCATTCTCCGTGTAAAAAACTTGCCCCTCACTTCTCCTTTAAACTTCCCCCTCTAACCTTAAATGCATACCCCCTAGTATTGGACATTTCAACTCTGGGAAAAAGATTCTGACCGACAACCCTATCTATGCATCTCATAATTTTATAAAGTTTTATCAAGTCTCCCCTCAGCCTCCATGGATCTAGGGAAAACAACCTGAGTTTTTCTAGCCTCTCCTTATAGCTCATTCCCTCTAATCCAGGCAGCATCCTGGTAAACCTCTTCTGCACCCTCTCCAAAGCCTCCAGATCCTTCCTGTAATGTGGTGACCAGAACTGAACACAATACTCTAAAAGTGTGGCCTAACCAAAGTCTTATAAAGCTGCAACATGACATCCAGACTCTTGTACTCAATTCTCCGACCAATAAAGGCAAGCATGCCATATGTCTTCTTTACCACCCGATCTACTTGTGTGGCCACTTTCAGGGAGCTATGGACTTGAACCTCAAGATCCCTCTGTACATCAATACTGTTCAGGGTCCTGCCATTAACTGTGTACTTTTCCTTAACATTTGATCTCCCAAAATGCAGCACCTCACACTTACACAGATTAAAATCCATCTACCATTTCTACACTCATATCTGCAACTATCTATATTCTGCTGTATCCTTTGACAACCTTCTACACTATCCATAACTCCATCGATCTGCAAACTTACTAACCCTCACATCTACATTTTCATCCAAGTCATTTATATGCATCACAAACAGCAGAGGGTCCCAGTACAGATCCCTGTGGAACTCCACTAGTCACGGACCTCCAGCCTGGAAAACACCCTTCCACCATTTCTGAAGAAGGGTCTAGGCCCAAAACGTCAGCTTTCCTGCTCCTCTGATGCTGCTTGGCCTGCTGTGTTCATCTAGCTCTACACCTGCATTTCTGAAGAAGGGTCTAGGCCCGAAACGTCAGCCTTCCTGCTCCTCTGATGCTGCTTGGCCTGCTGTGTTCATCCAGCTCTACACCTTGTTATCTCTTTCACCATTACCCTCTGTCTTCTATGGGTAAGCCAATACTGAATCTAAGCTGCCAAGTCACCATGTATCCCAAGCATCTTAATCTTCTGGATTAATCTACCATGAAGGACTTTGTCAAAAGCCTGATTAAAATTCATGTAGACACCATTCACTGCTCAACCCTCATCGATCACCTTCATCACCGCCTAAAAATTCAATCAAGTTAGTAAGACATGACCTGCCCTGCACAAAGCCATGCTGACTATCCCTAATTAGGCCATGCTTTTCCAAATGTGCGTATATCCTATCCCTAAGAATTCCCTCCAACAGCTTCCCATTTACTGATGTGAGACTCACTGGTCTATAATTTCCTGGATTATTCCTATTTCCCTTCTTGAATAGAGGAACAACATTAGCTACTCTCATAAATATTTCTCTACACTGTCCAATCAAACATTCCAAAGGCATGTTCAGCCTGGATTAGGTACAAGGTACAGAAGGAAGCAATCCCCTACTGGGCTGGCTCTATACTTACATTTCCCACTGGGGGCATCCCTTAGCCTCAAGTGAAGTTTCTGATCTTCAGCGGTGTCCTTATCATATTGTCCTCTGTTCTTGAGTCACAAAACAATTGCCAATCAGAAACAAAAACACAAGTTGCTGGAAAAGCTCAGCAGGTCTGTCAGTGTCTGTGGAGAGAAATCAGAGTTAACATTTCAAGTCCAGTGACCCTTCCTCAGAATTGATGGCAGCTACGAAAATATTGGTTTATATGCAGAAGATAGGGTAGGGGGAGGGGTTAAGGAATAAATGATAGGTAGAGATAGAGCCCAAAGAGAGTGAAGAAGAGTTGGACAGGCAAAGGAGTGGGTAACGATTTGGCTAGGAGGGTGAATATCTGTTAATGAGGACTGTTAATGGCTAACGATGGCCATAACTTCCAATCAGACTTTGTCTTTGAGACAAATTGAAGTGATTTTGAACAATAAAATATTTTGCTGTATGTCTATTTTGCGATTTTCAGCAGTGAGAAAGAAAAATTATTTGAGAAGGGTACATTAACTGTGACTAAATAAGGAAGTCATGGATTACTACAAAAATAGAGGGAGAAAGCAGAGTAATGGAAAGCTAGCTAACAATACAAAATAACAGTAAGAGTTTCTACAAATAATTAAATAGAGGAAGAGTAACTAAAGCTAGTGTTGGTCCTCTTGTCAGGGAGTTTGGGGACCTCTGATCAGAAAACAAAGGGATTATGGAGGTGTTAAACAGGAATTTTGTATCTGCCTTCATGGTAAGAGACTTCAAATATGTCCCAAAGACACTTCAAAATCTTGAGATGAACAAGAGGGAGGAATTTAAAATAATCACCATTCACCAGGGAAAAGATGCTGGAAAATTATTAGACTTAAAAGTTGACAAATCCCAAAACCTGGGATGGCCTGCATCTTAGGCTCAGAAAAGAAGTGGCTGCAGAGATAGTTAAAGCATTGGTATAATCTTATAAAATTCTGGGGGTTCCCGAGCCAGTTGACTATTTTCCAACGTAACATCATTATTCAACAAAGGAGGGAGAGAAAGCTATATTCCTATGACTACATTCCTGTTACTGGGATACAGTTAGTTACAGATCAACTGCTGTCGGGAAAATGCTGGAATCTTATTAAGGAGGTTACAGTCGGATTCTTAGAAAATCATAACAAGATGAAGCAGAGTCAACATGGCTTTGTGAAAGGGAAAATGTGTTTCATTGATGTATTCGAACATATTGAGGAACTAACAGGCAAGTCAGAGAAAGGAGAACCTGTGGATGTAATGTGCTTAGATCTCAGAAGGACATTTGATGAGGTGCTCCATCAAAGCTTGTGCTACACAGGATGGTTCAGGAAGTAATATAGATGAAAAAATGTTTTGCAAACAGGAAACAAAGAGCAGAGATAAGTTAATTTTTTGGGGGGTTGGTAAGCTGTAACTCATGCAAGGATTTGAGGCCTCAGCTACTTACAATCTAAGTAAATGACTTGGATGAGGAGAATAAATGTACAGTAGCTAAATTTGCAGAGGGCACCAAGACAGGGAAGAAAAGAAGTTGTCAGGAGGAGCTGGAGAGTTTGAAAAGGGATGTAGACAAGTTCAGTGAGTGGTGAGGGAATATAATGTGGGTAAATGTGAACTTGTCCACTTGGGCAGGAAGAATAGAAAAAGTGTATTAGTTAAATGGAGAACTCTGATATATAGAGGGATTTAAATATACTGGTACCTCTTTTCTTACCTCACACACTCACACATGGGACCTGGGAGTCGCTGGCTGGGCCCAGCATTTATTGCCCGTCCCTAGTTGCTGTTGAGGGCTTGCTGGTGAGCTGCATGAAACACAAAATGTTAGAAAGGCAAACAGAATACTGGTGTTTATTCCAACGGGACTGGAATATAAAATGAGGGAAGTTTTAATGCAAATGTACAGGGCCTTGGTGAGACCACATCTGGAGGTCTGTATACAGATTTGATCTATTTATTTGAAGAAGGATGCTCAGAGAATGTCCACGCGAAGTCCTCACTGGATGAGAAGATTATCCTATGAGAAAGGGTTGACAGACCAGGCCAATGGAATTTGGAAGGAGAGAGGTAATTTTATCAAAACTTATATAGCACCTTCAAGGGACTTGATAGGATGGACATTGGGAGGATGTTGCCACTTGAGGGGCTGAACAGAACCTGAGGACTTGGTTTAAGAACAAAGGGGTTTCTCCGTTTTAAGATGGAAATGAGGAGGAACCTTTTCTCTGACAGTTGTTAGTTTGTGGAATTCTGTTCCCCAGACAGTAGTGGAGACTTTGTGATTGAATTCATTCAAAACAGAATTAGAGAGAATTTTGATGGACAAGAGTGTTGAGGAATATGGGGAGCAGACATGAATAAGACCACAATCAGATCAGCCATGATTTTATCAAGTGGGGAATCAGTCTCAAAGGACAAAATGGCCTAATCCTGCTCCTAAATTCTAAATTCATTTGTTCCTTTACGACCATTACTGTGAAGAGCTATGGCTATTGCCCTAACTATCACTGAGAAGGTTGTGGTGAATAACTTGCTTGAACACAAAGGAGTATCGTGCTCAGCCATTTCATATCAGGTCAGAGTCGGCACTAGCTGGGTGAACAGTCACAAATATACCAGACTGGGTAAGTATGGCAGATTTCCTTCCCTAAAGGAAGTTGGTGAATCAGATTGGTTGTTACATGATCACCACTATGGATACCAATTTTATCAATTAATTGAATTTAAACTTCCCAGCCATTATGATAGTTTTGAATTTGTCTCCCTGGTTCGTTAATCCTGCCCTGGTTTCAGATTCCACTAACATAACCACAATTCTGTCATCAGGACATTAACTCGAATGTCAATGCTTCTAACAGGGAAAGATTGAAGATACAACAATCACCAAACAAGACTTCACTCCAAAAAATGTCTGTGAGCCAAAAGATTCAGTTGGCCAGAAAACCAGCAGCAGGACCACCCAGAAGGAGGCCACCAGGTAACAAGGATATATCAACCTCTTGGTGTCACTGTGGCATTTACCTGTTCATGTTTTAGTCCCATAGATGCATGAGTTGCTAATGGAAGGCTGTGACTCAATATTTCGACATATTTGAAGAAGATATGAGGAGGGATTGATGAGATGTGCACATTTGATGTAGACTACGTGAATTTTAATAAAGCTGTTGACATGATCCTACACATCAGACTCATTAAAAAGCTAGAACCCATGGGATACAAAGGAAAGTGGCAAATTGGATCTAAAATTGACTCAGGAAGCTAGGGATAATGGTGAACTAAATGTACCAGGAAGAAGTTTCCAGTAGGAATGTCTTTGTGGTGTGGATCAATGATTTGGACTCAAATGTAGACAACTTGATTGCAAGGTTTGCAGACAATTCAGAAAAAAAAGTCTATCAATGTAGTCAAGTATAAGGTAGAAAACTGCAGATTGGAGCAAGATATCGATGGACTGGTGGAGAAGGTAGGTAAGTGATAAAATGGAATGTAGTCCTGAGGAGTGTGAGATATTGTATTTGGGGAGGGCAAAGAAGCTGAGACTTTGACATGTATAGAGCATCAGAGGGACCTTGCAAGTGCATGTCCATAGAACCATGAAGGTAGTAGGACACATAGATAAGGTGGTTAAGGAAGCATGCAGCATACTTGTATTTATTAGTCAACGCACAGGACATAAGTGTAGGGAGGTAATGCTAGAACTATATTATTTAACCTGCAGCGCGGGTACTGCCTATGGTTCTGGTTACTGCATTACAAAAATAAGTTTTAAAAAATTAATTCATGTGATATGGGTGTTGCAGATTGGCCAATGTTTATGGCCCATCCCCAATTGCCCTCAAGGAGGTGGTGATGAGTTGCTACCTTGAACCACTGCAATGCTTGGGGTGTAGGTGCACACGGTCTAGGAGGGAATTCCAGGATTTTGATCCAGTGATACTAAAGGAACATGATTGAGAGTTTTGTCCTGCACATCAAGTACAGGACATACCTGCACAACTTTCCACATTGTCAAGTAGATTCTAGTGTTGTAGCTACACTGGAACAGTCTGGGTAGGTACACAGCAAGCTCTGGAGCACAAGTCTTAAGTATTATTACAGGAATTTTATCAGGGCCTATAGCCTTTGCAGTATCCAATGCCTTCAGCTGTTTCTTGATATCACGTAGGGTGAATTGGCTGAAGACTGGTATCTGTTATGCTGGGAACCACTGGAGGAGGCCGAGATGGATCACTTACTCAGTGTTTCTGGCTGAAGATTGTTGAAATGCTTCAGCCTTATCTTTTGCACTGATTCGCTGGGCTCTCCATTATCCAGGATTGGAATACTTGTAGAGCCTCCTCCTCCAGTGAGTTGTTTAATCATCCACCACCATTCACGACTGGATATGATAGGACTGTAGAGCTTAGATCTGATCCATTGTTTATGGCATCACTTAGCTCTGTCTATCACTTGCTGCTTCCACTGTTTGGCGTGCAAATAGTCCTGTTTGATGGCTTCACCAGGTTGATACCTCATCTTCAGGTATGCCTGGTGCTGCTCCTGGCATGCCCTCCTGCACTCTCCATTGAACCAGGGTTGATCCCTTGTTACTGTGGCGGATGCCAGGGCATGAGGCTTCAGATTGTGGTTGAATATAATTCTGTTGCTGATGGCCCACAGCACCTCAGGGATGCCCAACAGGATGGAGAGTATCCTCAATGTAAAGATGGGACTTTGTCTCACAAGGGCTTTGCAATGGTCACTGATTTGGTCATGGAAGGGTGTATCTGAGACAGGTAGATTGGTGAGAATGAGGCCAAGTTGACATTTCCCTCTTGTTGGTTCTCCCACTCAGCATCTGCCACTGGCCTAGGCTAGCAGCTTTGTCTTTTAGAGTTGACCAGCTCAGTCACTGTGGAGCTGCCAAGCCACTCTTGGTGGCGAACACTGAAATCCCCCACCCAGAATACATTCCTTATCTTTGTTACCTTCCGTTCTTATTCCAAGTGTTATTTGACTTGGGATGACTGGTGCCTGTTTGTGTGTGCACACGCATGTTGATGATACGAAGGTAGATCTGATTGATAGGTTAAGTGATTGGGTGAAAATCTGGCAAATGAGGTATAATGTGGGAAAATGTAAAATGGTCCATTTTGGCAGAAAGAATAAAAAATTAAACCAGTGGAAGATTGCAGAGCTGAGATGCAGAGATATCTGGGTGTCCTCATGTATGGATCACAAAAGGCTAGTCTGTACCAAACAATAACAGATACACAGAGCATGAGGGGAGACCACATCTGGAATACCATTAGCCTCCTTATTTAAGAAGAATGATAAATGCATTGGAAGCATTTCAGAGAGAGTTTACCAGATAAAAGAACAGGAATTTACCTTATGAGGAGAAGTTGGGCAGGCTAGAACCGCATCTGCTGGAGGCTGGAAGGTAACAAGCAACTTGATAGAAACATATAAGATCCTGTGGGTCTTAATCAGGGTGGGGGGTGGGGGGAGGGGGTGTGGTTGAGGATATGGGCAAATCTAGAACTCAGAGCCATTTTTAACAATTAGTGTCACCCATTTAAGACAGAGATGATAAAACATTTTTCTCATCAAGGGGAGGTGTATTTGGAACTCTGTTTCAGAAAGGCCGTAGAAGTGGAGTCTTTTTAAGGTATACAGATTCTAGATATGCAAAGGGATGAAAGGTTACTGAGGTAGGCAGGAATATGATGTAGGCATATCAGCCATGGTCTTATTGAATAGTGCAGCAGGAGCAAGGGCCCGAGTGGCCTACTCTTGTTCCTAGTTCGTATGTTTAGTTTGACCATCGCTAAATTATTGTGGTGCTTTAGGGAGGGTGTCAGTGCTTTGATAGTGTGCAACAGATTTATTAGAATGCAATTCAGTTTTATTGAGAGATCAGGGAAGTTGGAGTGTTTTCCTCAACAGAGAAGGTGAAGTGTTTGAAGTAATGGACATTTAGGCTGAATAAATGATTCCAGTGAATGAATGAATGATTTATTATCACACATATTTTACAGTGAAATACAACAGAATACAGTGAAAAACTTTAATTTGTCTTGATAATCCAGCACCATTTTGATTGTTTAAGAATTAGAGAAAAATGAAAAGATATAGTTTAAAGAGAGAACAAAAACAAAGTTGCTGGAAAAGCTCAGCAGGCCTGGCAGTATCTGTGAAGGAAAAAACAGAGTTAATGTTTCGGGTCCGGTGACGCTTCCTCAGAATAGTTTAAAGAGAGATTCATCTACGTTCAGTTCTGATTCAGCTCAGAACCACCAGAGTCAGACCCAACCAACATCAGAGTTGCCCATTTTCAGGCGCCATCTTTCGCTGCAGGGCCTACCTCACTGACATCACCTCAGGGCTCACTCTCCCCACACCCTCTCCCCCACGCCTGGGCTTTTTCCCACCCCAGCCGATGCCAGGAGGAGTGACTCTTTTGCTATCACCCTGCCGAAGTTGCCAAAAAAGGCTCTTAAAGAGGAACAAAAGAAAAAGAGTGAAAGTAAAAATTTTAAAAACCAAAGAAAGCAGACACCAGCGGATGAGCCCCAGACAAGGAGCTTGAACACAGCGATGCCAAAGGGTCGGTAAACAGAGCACATAGATTTAATATAAATGGCACAAACTAGGTTTGACAAGGATCCTTACTATGTATTGATTTTTGATCGACATTGCATTGGCTAAGCAGATTCGGTAAAAACTTTCTAAGCAGGGCTACAGATAAAGAGTAGAAAAGGAGGACTAAGGATTTTCAGAGTGGAACAATCCGATGGGCTGAATGGACTTGTTCTATATTCTTATGAAAATGCTTTGTAAGATTTGAAATAATGAATCTCTTCCCATTCTTCCCAGTCCAGCCCATCTCCCCATGTGCCGGTTACAAGCCTACCTGCTTCACCAGCGTCTCAAAGGCATGAAGATCTCACGACCCACATCTGTTGCTACACAATGACACCACGACGAGAGCCATTGTGTCCCCAACACTATGATATAGAAATATCCAGCATTGAAGCAGCTCTCGATCCACCGAGGCCTATTGAAACAAAAAATAAAAATTATAAAGAACCAAATGCCTTTGGTGTCATCACTGGCTGTGTCATTGAACTGTGTCTAACAGCACTGAGGGGATCCTCACCTGCAGACTGCTGTGTTTAGGGCAACATGGCACTACACTTCCTGAAAGTATTGACGAATGTTTATTTGGCATTGACTTTGTGGATGTTTGTTAGAGCTGCCTAGCTGCTTTGGATGCAGACAAAACAGATGGGGTGACTGTACTTGCTGATATACAACCGATATTCTATAAATTTGGTCTTGAGATTCTTTATATGCAAAGACTTGCAGCTCTGCTGTGACGCTGCAGAAGCTGAGGTCTGTGTGTTAGTATCATATTGGCTTCCTCTCTGATGTTTATTAAAACCACTCCTCATCACTTTGTGAGACAACAAGGTGCAGGGCTGGATGAACACAGCAGGCCAAGCAGCATCATAGGAGCAGAGAGGCTGACGTTTCGGGTGTTGCTGAAAACATACTCTCACTCTTTAATTTTTTAGACCACTCTGTGACTGAATCCGAAAACTAATCCGTGCCCCAGTACTCAAATGTTGACCTGAACTTGGTCTCTTCTGATCTGGAATGGAGCAGTAGAACTGCTGAAATATTTTGTTAATCCTTGTCAAGTCCTCAGATAGTAATACAAGATAAGATGCTTGTTTGGGGTATTTGGGATTCTTTTTGCACAATTTGAACCTAAGATTTGGTCTTGCTGGAAGAGAGACATCCAAACTGCAGGAACTCGAGTCAAATATTTGAAAGAAAGGAAGCTTAAATTTTTTGACCTAATCAAGTGGAATGTTGCTAAGTGCATGTTATGAAGTCTTCTCAAGAGGGGATGAAAATGCTGACAGACATGGTGGCGAGGTGGACATGATGTACTAAAACTGTTGGTGTTACCCTGAAAATTCTTAAAATGTCTTCTGTGTATTTCAAGGACATCAGCAGAATAGGTGACTGTAACTATTATACACTGCCTTCAATGTGACTTGGTAGCAGTTCCTGTCAAATTCCTCCTGTTGAAGTGAATCAGCTGTTATCGGCAAAGTTGCTCAAAAACAGATTCCTTAAGAAATTTTTATGTCAATTAGATTACTCAACTCCAGAGAATTCAGGTTGATTCTACTCAGTCTCCCAAAGATACAATTAAAGCATTTATCCCTGGTAGGTAGATCATCTACAACTTAATGGCAAAAAAAGGTTTGAGGTGTTGAATGGTTGCCACCTTTGAACTGTTAAAACCTGTTGCTGCAGGCATCCAGGGCTCAGTCCCTGCTGAAAGAACCTACCTGGGTCATCAGGAGAGGTCCAGTATTCGTACAGCCAGTCCAGTTAGATTTCTAGGCCGCAGTAGACCCAGACTTTTGATGGTGGGGGATTCAGAAATTGTTATGCCGTTGAAGATCAAGGGAATATGGTTACATTCTCTCTTGCTAGAAATGGTATTATCCTGACACTTCAGTGACAAATCCTGAATGTCATCTAAGTCTTAAAGTATTCTGCACCCATATGGAGCAGCAGAAGCAGTGTGAATGATACTACTGCAATCAACAAACATTCTCATTTCTGACCTTATGTTGGAGGAAAAGTTATTGATGAAGCACCTGAAAAAGACTGGATTTAAGACACTGCCCTGAGGAACTCCGGCAGTGAGGTCCTGTGGTTGAGGTAACTGACCCGCAATAACCAAGCATCTTTCTTTGTGCCAGGTAGAACTCCAGCCAATGGATTGGTTTCCCCAATTCCCAATGACATCAATTTTCTGAGTCTTCCTTGATGCCACACTCTGTCACATTCCACCTTGGTGTCAAAGGCAATCACACTTAGCGATCCCACAAGCAACAGGTTAGGTGTAAGCTCTGCAGTCCTGCCACATCCAGTGGGTAATGGTGGTGGAAAATTAAACCACTCACTGGAGAAGGAGGAGACTCTATAAATATCCCCATTCTCAATGATGGAAGAGCCTGACACACCAATGCAAAGGATAAGACCAAAGCATTCCTTTTGACAAAATCTTATTGGCTCTGCCTGATTACCTTGAACATCCAGGTGCCCTGTTACAACACCATTAATAAGAGCTTAATAAGGGGGGGGAGGCAGTCCCAGAACAGGGGGTGGCCAGGGAGGCAGTCCCGGAGCAGGGGGAGGCAGTTCCAGAGGCAAGGGGGAGGCAGACCCAGAGCGGGAAGAGGCAGTCCCAGGTGGAGGCCAGAGCTGGGGGAGGCAGAGGAAACTTACCTTGGAGCAGCTGAGAGCTGGTGCAGAGCGGACTGAAGGCTCAGAGCGGAGTGGGGATGGTTGTTAGACAGGGGTCTGGCACGGGCAGTCAGGCCACGTGTGGTAGCCCTTGGGCTGAGCTGCTGCAATGTAATGTTTATTTGAAATTTTTTTATTTGACTATAATGTCAATCCTATAACTGTCTTATTTCTAACTTATTCTTTAAACGCTGTAAAGTCAGGCAACTACTTTTCTTTTTATTCCTGTTTTGTACCTAGGTTCTTGTACCTAATATAATGCATAAGAAGTGACATTGGAAAACTTTTCACTCTACTCTGGTAATGGAGTATATTTGACAATAAAGGATATTCTATTCTTTTGTACATTAGCTGTTTTTCAATCTAAAGGAACCTTTCCTGAGTCTGGTAAATTTTAGAAAACTAAAAGCAACACATTCACTATCTAGGTGTAGAGCTGGATGAACACAGCAGGCATCTGCAGTTCCTACTATCTCTGAAATTCACTATCTAATTTCTTTTAAGATCCTAGGATGAGATCCATCAGAGCCCAATGACTTGTCAACTTGCAGTTTTGACAGTGTAATCAGCACTCCTTGCAATTTTTAGTTACTTGTTCACTTTCAATTTCTGATTTACAGCTATTTCCAGTTACTTGGATTCTCTCTAATGAAGACCAACAAAATATTTGTTCATCTGCCATCTCTTAATGCTCCATTACTAATTCCTCAAACTCATTTTCTATAGGACTAACACTTTAACTTTTAAAAACATATCTGAAGAAATTTTTTTAAAATTCTGTATATTTTCCCTCATTAACCTTTTAGTAAGTTTTTGCTTTATGTTCCATTCAAACTCTTGGCCTATCACCTATCTTTGCGCAATATGTCTTCTTTGAGTTTATAGAATCATACAGCATGGAAACAGAGTCTTTGGTCCAATCAGTCCATGCCAACCACAGTCCCAACTAAACTAGTTCCACCTGCCTGCAGCTGGCCCATATCGCTCCAAACATTTCATATTCATGTAATTATCCAAACTATCCAAGTTATCCAAAGTTATCTTTTAAACATTGTAACTGTACTCGCACTCACCACTTCCTCCGGCAGTTCATTCAACACACAAGCCACACTATGCAAAAAAAAAAAAAATACCCCTCATGTCTTTTTAAAAGCTTTCTCCTCTCACCTTAAAATATGCCCCCAATCTTGAAATCCCCACCCTAGGCAAAAGACACCTGCCATTCATCTTATCTATGCCCTTCATGATTTTATAAACCTCTGTAAGGTCACCCCTCAACCTCCTTCGTTCCAATGAAAAAAACCCATCCAGCCTCTCTTTATAATACAAGCCTTCCATCATGGCAAATCTCTTATGAACCCGCTCCAGGTTAATAGTATCCTTCCTATAACAGAGTGACCAGAACTGTACACAGTACTCCAGAAGAGGCCTTATCAACCTCTTGTACAACCTCAACATGGCATCCCAACTCCTATACTCAGAGGTCTAAGCAATGAAGGCAAGTGCGCTAGATGCCTTCTTAACCATCCTGTCTATATGTGATGCAAACTCCAAAGAAATATGTACCTGAACCCCTAGGTCTCTCTGCTTTACAGTACTACTCAAGGCCCTACTTTCAACTGTGTATATCCTGCCCTTCTTTGTTTCAACAAAAGGCAATACCTCACATTTATCCAAATTAAACTCCATCTGCCACTCTTCAGCCCATTTACCCAATTGATCAAGATCTCTTAGTAATCTTAGATAACTTTTTTCACTGTCCACTGTGCCACCAATTTTGGTGTCATCCGCAAACTTACTGACCATGCCTTCTATATTCTCATCTAAATCATTTATATAAATGACAAACAAAGGTGGACCCAGCACCAGTCCCTGTGGAGCACACTGGTGACAGGCCTCCAGTCCGAAAAACAACCCTCCACCATCACTCTCTGTCTCCTGCTATTACACCAGTTTTGTATCTAAATTGGTAAGCTCACTTGGAATCCCATGTAATTTAATTTTAAAGTTTGATACCTTCTTTGATTTTTTAAAAATTGACCACAGATGTACATTCAACTTTCTTCCCAGGAATTAATTTCTAAATCATAAGAAATCCAGGCAATAATAAAATGCATGGCAAGTACGGACACTAATTCCAGAAGAGGTGGCAGGTGCGTCTGTTGGATCGAGAGGTTAATTATGAAGGTGTAGCCAAATAGCCTGACAGACTGTGACACGTGACACTGATATATCACCTTTACCATAGTAAAACGTCCCAAATGCTATCAAACAAAATCCAAATCCAAACCACAAATGGATATATTGGGACAGATGGTTAGAGGTTGGTTACAGAACAAGAGGACATTAGCCCATCACAACTGTCTTCATCTAGAAGATTAAGATGCACGGAATCCGTGGTGACTTGGCAGCTTGGGTTCAGAATTGGCTTGCCCAAAGAATACACAGGATAGCGGTGGAAGGGTGTTTTTCAGGCTGGAGGTATGTGACAAGTGGAGTTCCACAGGGATCCATACTGAGACCTCTGCTGTTTGTGATTTATATAAATGACTCGGATGAAAATGTAAATGGGTGGGTTTGTAGGTTTGCAGACAACACAAAGATCGATGGAGTTGTGTATAGTGTAGAAGGCTGTCAAAGGAGATGGCAGCATATAGACAAGTTGCAGATATCGGCGGAAAAATATGGAGTTTAATCCCAGTAAGTGTGAGGTGCTACACTTAGAACATAAGAACTAGGAGCAGGAGTAGGTCATCTGGCCCTTCGAGCCTGCTCCGCCATTCAATAAGATCATGGCTGATCTTTTCGGGGACTCAGATCCACTTACCCGCGTTCTCACCATAACCCTTAATTCCTTTATTGTTCAAAAAAATATCTACCTTTTCTTTAAAAACGTTTACTGAAGTAGCATCAACTACTTCACTGGGCAAGGAATTCCATAGATTAACAACCCTCTAGGTGAAGAAATTCCTTCTCAATTCAGTCCTAAATCTGCTCCCTCTAATCTTGAGGCTATGCCCTCTTGTCCTAGCTTCACCTGCCAGTGGAAACATCCTCTCTACTTCTATCTTATCTATTCCCTTCATAATTTTATATGTTTCTATAAGATCCCCCCTCAATCTTCTGAATTCCAATGAATATAATCCCAATCTACTCAGTCTCTCCTCATAAGCCAACGCCCTCAACTCCGGAATCAACCTAGTGAACCTCCTTTGCACCCCCTCCAGTGCCAATACATCCTTTCTCAAGTAACTTTGGGAGATCACATGTTAAGGAAAAGTATAGTGTTACTGGCAGGACCCTGAACAGCATTGATACACAGAGGGATCTTCAGGGTTCAAGTTCATTCCTCCCTGAAAGTGACCACACAAGTAGATAGGTTGGTAAAGAAGGTGTATGGCACACTTGCCTTTATTGGTCGGAGAATTGAGTACAAGTGTCAGGAAGTCATACTGCAGCTTTATAAGACTTTGGTTAGGCTACACTTGAGTTCCGTGTTCGATTCCAGTCACCACATTACAGGAAGGATGTGGAGACTTTGGAGAGGGTGCATAAGAGGTTTACCAGGATGCTGCCTGGATTAGAGGGTATAAGCTATAAAGGGGAGGCTAGAAAAACTAATGTTGTTTTCTCTGGAGCAGCGGAGGCTGAGGGGAGATTTGATTGAAGACTATAGAATTTTAAGATGCATAGATAAGGTGCAATAGGGAAAATTCAAAGGAGACATGAGGGGCAAGTCTTTTAAAACAGAGTGGTAGGATGCTGGAACGCAATGCCAGGGGTGGTGGTGGAAGCAGATACAATAGGAGCGTTTAAGAGACTTTTAGATAAGCACATGTATATCTAAGGAATGGAAGGATATGGACAAGGACAAGCAGAAGGGATTAGTTTAATTTCGCATCACGTTCAGCACAACATCATGGGCCAAAGGGCCCGTTCCTGTGCTGAACTATTCAATGTTCGGTGTCAGCTCTCTGTATGTGCAACTCATCCTTGCCCTAGTCCCTGACCTTTCTCTGTGGCCCTCAAAATTTCTCTTCAGATAATTATGTCACTTGCTTGAAAGAGCCAGGACTGAATCTATCTTCAGCACCCACTCAATCACTGTGTAAAGAGGCTTTTCTTCATGCTGTCAATTACCTTAAATCATTGTTCTCTGACTTTCGATCCTTGCACCAATGGGAACAGTTTCTCCGCATCTATTCAGTCCAGGACTCTCATAATTTTGAGCACTTCTATCACATCTCTGAAACAGTAGCAGCTTCTCCAAACTATCAATGTAGCTGAAGCTTCAACCCTGGAAGTATTCTCATGAATCTTTTCTGCACCCTCTTCAATGTCCACATCCTTCCTGCACCTGGTCCCTCTGCTCCTGCACCCCCTTGGAGAACTGTACCCTCTGTTTGATTATGCCTCTTCAAAATTAATCATTTCATTCTTCTCACTTTATATCTACCACATTTCTACCCATTCCACCTGTGTCTATGCCCTTTCGACTATCACTAGCCCTCACAGATCACAATATTTCCAAGTTGTGTCATCTGCAAGTTCTAAAACTGTGCCCTGAACAGCCCAGTGTAGATCATCAATATAGACCAGGAAAAGCAATCATTACACTTAGCACTGGGGTCAATGAAGTCCGTTTTGAGAAGCATCTTAAAAAAGTAAAGAAAAATAACGATGCCTGGGAAGGAATTTCAGAGCTTAGGGCCCAAGAAGCTGAAGGCACGGCCACCAATGATGGAGTAATTCAAAAATGACCAAGGGATCAATTCTGAGAAGAACAGATCTTAAAGAGTTACTGGAGGAAGTTACAACAATACGAAGGGGTGAGGCAATGAATGGATATGAAAACAGGCATAAGGATTTTAAACTCTGTGTTGCTTAACTGGGCACCCATACAGGTCAGCAAGCACAGGGGTGGACAGTAGATAGAACTTGTTGAGTTAGGACACAGACAGCAGACCTTTTCGATAATATTAAATTTATGCAAGCTGTTGGAATAGTTGAGTCTTGAGATAACAAAGGCAATGGTGGATTTTCAGCAGCAGATGAGTGAAGATGGGGAGCATGTTTTGGAAGCAGAAAATCCTCACTGATGGTAAAAGTCATCAAGCTACATCGAAACACGGTGACCAGTCTAATATCCTTGTTTTTGAACATACTTCTATAAAACATTTTACTGATTTGTTTCCACTTATTAATAAGAACAAAATTGATCTCAGCATTCAGGAGAATGTCTACAGAACGTTTAACGTATTAAATTCCAAAATAAACTCAAATTTGGAAATAATGGCAGCAGAGTATTGAATGGAGTGTTGGTGATAAGGGGGGAGAAGAAAGAGTGAGCGTGTGACAGGAATCGCCTACACAACAGTTGAAACCACAGATATACGTTGTCTGGATGACGAATTATCAAAACAACAAATCTCAGAACAGACCGTTACTCACACAGTACAAATTTTATATTCAAAAAGAACAGAATGTTAACAAGAATAAAAAGATTTTCATTTTCTCAATTGTTCCCAGATATTCAGATCCCTCAGTTTCAGGAAAGATTTTGTCTGTCTCATTACGCAGACAGCCTCAGGATCTCAGTCTGAAGGAGTGTGCATCAACTTGAATCTCAATCAGCAATTTACATATCCTCCACACTCCATTTATACGCTATCTCCTGCACAGCCTTCTTATCTGCTAATCTTGCATAACGTTTCTGTTCAAAGCCATTCGATCTGAAAGTTTAAAACAAATGTTCTTTTATTGGTGCAGTGCTATCAGATGCGTTATAATGCATAACCATATATAATTTTTACACTCAAACAAAACAAAGAGCCGCAGATGCTGTAAATTTGAAACAAAAACAGAAACTGCTGGAGACGCTCAGCAGGTCTGGCAGCATCCATGGGGAGAGAAGCAGAGTTAATGTTTTGGGTCCAGTACTGAAAGAAGGGTCATTAGACCCGAAACATTAATTCTGCTTTCTCTCCATAGATACTGCCAGACCTGCTGAGTTTCTCCGGCAATTTCGGTTTTTATGTATAATGTTTACAGTTGGGTTATTTAGATGCAAAGCCTGTAGAGATCTGGACCATGTGTATGAATATTCGCAGCTTCCAGGAACGTCTTTCAATTCTGCTCAATCACCATGATCATTTTCAAGGATCCCACAGTGCTCCTCATCTACAGTATAGGTATTTTGTGTTAATTTTGATATCCTCAATCACTTTTTAAAACACTTGACATCTGTTGTCAACCTTCGCTGCTCTTTAAATCGGTTCTATTTTCCAAAATCTACCTTTTCGTATTTTTGATTTTATTTGGTTTTGGCTTTTTTTTTTGGTAAGTACAGGTAGTTCTCCTATAACACGATAGTTCCATTCTTGTATGACCTCACACTATAGAAAATCATGTTATAGGGAAATCACTATACCTGTACAGCAGGAAGTTTGCGTTGTCCAAACAGTATCCACTTTCATCAATCGCTTTACAGCCAATTCGCGTTAACAAAACACATTATTCCTGAACTACTTGTACTGCCCTTGCCCTTTAGGGATATAGACTTGTTTCAATTGATTCAAATTGTATTTTGAACAACTCTGACTGGTCTTTCTTTTAACCCATGAACAGATTTGCTGTATTTACAGTGGACAAACTCTGCAATTATTATACTGACAGCAATTTTATCTCAATCTTAATCAGTAGCTGCTTCACAATTCTCCTTGTTAAGCAAATTGAACGTGATCACACTATGGTTAATTAAATCTGGTTTCTTACATATTACAAAATCGGAAAATAGCTGAAATTATAAACTCATGCGGAACAAGAGAAAGTTCTTGTTGTAAGCACATCACAAACTGAAAGGAGATGAGCTAGAGATTTCAGCTTCTGATAAACATGTTCAAACGACTGCCCTGCCACCTGCCAATGTTTCAGATAGGTTCATTCCTGCAACCTATAGGCCATCAATAAGGTGTTAAGCTGGCTAAGACTAAGGGTCACCAGTGACAAGTCAGTGAGTTCATGTACATGTTTCCGAATGAACCTATGCCTAGATCAAGATTAGAATGAGCTTATGCCATGGTTAACTGTGCTGCTGAATGAACAGTTAGTGTGTTTAAATCAAGCTTCAAGTGGAACCTGCAGGGAGGATTGGATCAACAATACTCCCCAACTTACACATTTTTGGCGGTACATTGAAATGAAATATCTTAGTCACAGGTTCAACACTGTACAGCTGTGGCTTCTGATAATCACCTCCAAAACTGGGATTTAATTCGAGCTCAGAGATCATCTCGAAGAAAATGTTACAAGGCAGACATCTTCAAAATTGTGGGGAATTGCAGCATAGATACTGTACTCTCGATGGCCCTGTACAAGCCAGAACAGTCCCTAGGGCTGTATGCTGCAGTATAACTGTCTGCTTCATATTTATGGACACTTACAAAATAATGATCCATTCTCTCTCACATTCTGCTTTCCATTGTTTGCAACTATCATGGGTGAGCCGATCCATTACTGTAACAGTAATGTCACTGGGCTAGTAATCCCCAGGGCCGGGCTAATGCTCTAGGGTCATGGGTTCAAATCCCATCGCAGCAGACGGTGCAATAAAACTTAAATGAATTGAATTTGTGGAATGGAAAAATGGTAACCATGATAATTACCGGCGATGACCATAAAAACCTAACTGGTTCATTAACATCCGCGAGCGAAGGAAATTGGCCATCCTTAGCTGATTCAGTCAACGTGCGACTTCAGATCCAAGCCAAATAGTTGACTCTTTACTGCCCTGTAAAATGGCCCAGACAGCCATTCTGTTCAAGGGCAGAAAGGGATGAGCAATGAATGCTGACCTTGCCAGCAACATCCATCCTCCTGAATTTTCCTGGTACTGCGTTGCATTCTGAGGTCTGTGCGCAGCAGCAGCTTCAGGAACCAGACATCAGTGCATCCACTGCTGATCGCTGAGCATGGACATGGCCATGGCCATGCAGCTTACAGTGAACATTGCCATGACTGACACATCCTATGGAAAGATAAATCAAAATCTCAACTCCATTGATCTCCTTAGTGCCTGATCCCTTGTTATTTCATTAACTTCAGTTTTTATCATTACATTTCTAATTCAGCAACTTCTGGCTACAATCTGATCCTTCAACAGTTCCTAGTCCCACGAGGCATTTCTGTAGCAATTCCTGCTGAACCTGTTCAGAAAGACTGGCCACAGCAACTTGTTTAATTTTGGAACACACAATTACTCCATCCAATATTTTACTGTACTTTTAAAATTGAAGTTGTACTGTTACCTGTCGACACCATCCCAGCGATACCCAGGTTGGAGATTAAATCTGTTCGGAGGGGGTGCAGGGCCACTATATACTGGTCTTGCTGCAAAGCAATTAGATTCATTTAGCAGAAACTGATCCAACTTAGGTTGTAACACCCCATCCTCAGTACCACATGTGAACCCCAGCCCCCCACACCCTTGGACAGTACCACGTCTAACAATCCCAGCCCTCCCCATATCTACAGACTGCACCACATCCAAATCCACCCACCCCACACACATGGACAGTACCATGTCTAAAACACCCACCTCTACACCCTTGGATTACACCACATCCTGACACAGTACAATGTCACAGGCTTGATGTCAACATGTTTAACCTACTCACCATTTTTATTCTTGGCTTCTTTCTCCTTCTTCTTCCTGAGAAGGCCAGCCATTGGGTCTCCATCTCGCTGTTTCTCACGGAGGAAGCGATCTAGGTCCTCGTCATCGATGTGCCGAGCAAGTGGTTTCTGCATCTCGTGAAGAGCATCCTGGACATTCTTTCTCTGCTGCTCTTCCTGAGCCACTCTGAAACAGAGATCACATAGAGGGAGTGAGTCGGGAGGAGGGGTGTAAACAAAGAGAGAGAGAGAGAGTGGGAGGTCAACTGA